AAACAAAAACTAATCAGAAACTATAGCCGCAGTGGCAACAAGAACAACAAAACAACAGAATAATGGATTTTGTATATAATTGGTGAATGATATACACAAAATTCCAATCGCCCACGACTCATATATGCCGTAATAAGGTTAGAAAAAACAGCTTTGGAATGCTTTGACAATAAAAATCTTTCTTGAGGCTCATGCTGTTGCCGGGACGACAAGCTTTGATGTGCCATGTCCTGTTATTGAATTCAAACATATTATTCTTCACCGCCCTCGATTAATCAGCTCGGGAATTCTGTCCGCCATGAGCCCTACATGCAGTCATAAATTATGGCCTGGCCTGGTTGTTAACTTAAGAACATTCATATAAGAACATGCATGCAACACTTGGTAAATAGAATTTTAACGTGAGACGGGATCCTCGCTGCACTCAAAGTTCTTGACATCATCCAAAAGGCTGTTCTCCTTGGAAGTCCCGATGGATCAAAGGTGTATATGCGGATTGCCGGGTGGCCAGATCCGATCTAGAAGAAATTTTGCAATCCGCGGGCGCGTTAGATTTTGTTGCTGGATTGGCATATTGTTCAATGACCACCCTCGTCTTCTTAATTTCACTTTCAAGCAGCAGCAGGAACAGCAGCAGTAGAAACTTGGCAGGCAAGGAAGAATTGTTATAATCAGCGAGTCAGCTATTACAACAGGGCAAGAACAAGGACATGAGCTTCTTTAGATTATCACCTTTGAAAACATGGGATGGCACGTAATTACATTCACGTGCAAAGAGTGTGGCTTGCGATTCTTGAATCCCTCTCGGTGCTTCTTGTATAAAACAAGAAAGAGAGCCTCTAGGGCCGACAATCCCTCTTACAGGTAGCAAAACAACCATTTTCATAATCCAAAGCGAGCCAAAGCCGAGTCAATTAGTGCGTGCTTTTGGCAATATTCATCCGAAAGGTGGCGTGCTTGTCTCTCAAGAACCCTAAACTCCTTTTGTCATGTTGCCGGATGATCAAATGTTTCAATGCAATGTATCATGAGTGCGGCATTATTTGATGAATACAGTAGGAGCTACGTATTGGGCCAGGTGGGGCGGGCCACAATCCCCCGACCGGCAGACCCCACCGCTCACGTCACCTTCCGGTGCCGGAGCTCCGGTTTCCCGGCCGGGCAGACCCCACTTGGGCAGCTCGGGCAGCTCGGGCAGTCCGGGCAGCCTCTGTGTGCGGTGTGTTTTTTGTTCTTGAGATCGTTAGCAGCAGCCCTTCTCTGAAAATACGTCTGTCTTTCCCAGCTCTCGCTTTCGCTCATTGTTGCCTTGTTAGATCCTGGTCGTGTTATAAGAAATTCCATACCGTCTTAAGGCTTATAATATTTTTCCAATTGCGCTCTATATATCTCCTCCTCGCTGGATCCCAAGTTCTAAAGAGTTAGAGCTTCCAAGGAAAAGAAAGGAAGCTGTAGATAGAGTTCCAGCTGAAGTTTCTGGGGCGTTTGGATGCAGCAGCATCATAATCACCAGATCACTTGCGCTCCCAGCTTCTCCCAGCAGATGATGCTGCTTCCATCTCCTCACGGTTTCGGAGTGTTGCAGCTGCAGCACAGGAACGAAGGCAAGTTGCATTTCCACAAGGATAATGTATCCGGGAATGAATCATCTCTCTTTTAACTTCGCCTTTGCGCGCGAGTGCTTGCTTGTACATTTTGTTCTTGGAATTTTAGTTCTATCCGGTTGCTGCTATGGTTTTTATCCTGTTCCTCGTTTCTAATGTGCGTTTTGGTGTTGTTTCTCCAGGATCAAGCACAAGCAGCAGCAGCAACTGCTATGACTCTGCTCTCTCCCTTCTCGGCGGGGGCCCCCCCGCCGCCGCTGGAAATGTACACTACGACATGGCCCAGATGTTCATCCCAGGCCCCACGACCACCACTTCCACCTCAACCTCAGCCACCAAGCTCGAGGATTTCATCGGCAGCGGCCCGGCTCTGGATCTCAACGACATCCACGGCTCTTCCGCCACAACCGCGGCACTCCCTTTGTTCACGGGAGGAGCTGCCGCTGCGTCTAGCCACAACAACGTCATCGGTTTTGGCGGCTTGAGCAGCGGCACTCTCGATCACTGTTTCTCCACCAGCAGTAGCAGCTGCAGCTTGTTCCCGTTTCCGGAGCCGCAGCAGCAGCAGTGTGGCGGCAGCATGTACAACTTCGGTGCCGTTCACAGCAGCCTGCCATCGTTGCACCACGCTGCTTTCGAGTTCCAGCAACAGCAACAACAAATGCCACAGGCGGGAAACTTTGAAGATCAGAGAATTGAATTGTCACCACCGCCGCCACTGCCACCGCCGCCGCACTACAGCCACGATCACCACCAGTTTCAGCAGACTCCAGGATCCGTGAACTTTTTCAATCTCAGCAATGCGAGTTCTCTGAGGAGCCCGTGGGCCGCGGAGCATCAGAGTGACGCCACCAGCCTCTCGCCGCCGGCTACGGCCCTGGAGATGGTTAGCAGCAGAGACTTTTTTCATGGCGACAAGGCTTCGCTTCCAATGGCCAAGACCATCGACCACTTACGTGAATTCCAGGATGCTGCCCAGCAGCAGCAGCAGACGAGTCGGGCGCACCTGCAAGTCGAGCCACTCAACGCGGAGATCCTTGTCGAGTCGGATCAAAGCCTCTACAACGCCCTGCAAATGCCTGGCAGAGGAGCTCCTCACGTCGAGGAAGATCACCATGAACAAGAGCAGAGTCACGGTGGCGGTGCCAAGAGATCCAAAGAATTGTCTGTCGATCATAGTAATTGCTGCGACGACAACGACCTTGTCCGATCGGATCACGGCAAACGATCGGCTCCCCCAGGTGATTTGTACGAGCTCTCCTCAAAGAAGTCAGCGGCAGCAGCGGTGGACGCAAGTGGACAGCGTACATCCAAATACCGCGGAGTTACGAGGTTCGCGTTTTTAAATTGTCTCGCAAGTTTGTTCTAACTTGTCCCTCTTGTTCTTGATTGTTCTTGTTCCAGACATCGCTGGACTCGTCGTTACGAGGCCCATCTCTGGGACAACAGCTACAAGCAACCGGGGAGAGATCGGAAAGGAAGACAAGGTATTCTTTTCTTTTCATGCTCCTTGGCACTGTTTTTACCTTCGTAATAATTCCTACTCGCGAGCTAACTCTTTGGCATTTGTGTGGCTTTTGTCTCCGGATGGGATCTTCTGGGTGGAGCTCCTGCAGTGTATCTAGGTACAGTCTCTAAACTATCCACGCATTGCGTGCGCCCATTAGTTTACGCTTTGTTTTCGCTCTTGCATTATACGAGTTTTTCATTGTCTAGTCGACAGGCATGCTCTCTTTCGCTCTCGGCTTGGCTTTGTAGGAAATTGTTTCCGCTACTGTAGAGTTTCTGACTTTGTGTCTGGTTCAAACTAGGGAGACTGTAGCTCTTAGTGTCTTGTGTGTGTGGTGTGCTAGCGTACGATGGCATCTGCAAGCCAGTTTTTTTCTCAAGTGGATTGTTTTGAGCTGTTTATCTAAAAGAACGCTTTGGAATTGGCACCAGGTGGTTATGACAGTGAGGAGAATGCAGCCAGGGCATATGATCTAGCAGCTCTCAAGTACTGGGGACCCAACACTATTATCAACTTTCCTGTAAGATTTCGTGGGGAGGTCGCCAATGTCGACTGCTCACCAGACCCCTTGACCATCTCCTTGACTAAACTTTTTCTCTTCTTTTCCAGCTTGGAAACTACACCAAAGAGCTCGAGGAGATGAAGCACAACACAAGGCAAGAGTACGTCGCGGCCATAAGAAGGTTGGCGGGCTTTATACGTCTTGGTTTGTTTATTGGATGGCTCTCTTTAAGGTTGCGTCGTCTCTATCAGGAAAAGCGATGGCTTCTCTCGAGGGACTTCGGTTTTCCGGGGTGTTACGAGACACCACCAGCATGGACGATGGCAAGCGCGGATTGGACGTGTGGCTGGTCACAAGGATTTGTACTTGGGGACATTTGGTACGCTGTCCAACAGTAGAGAAAACTTTGACATGTAGCTTTTGCTTTACGACCCATCTTTGATGTGATCTCTGGATAGGCACTGAAGAAGAAGCCGCTGAGGCGTATGACCGGGCTGCTATCAAGTACCGCGGTCTCAAGGCGATCACAAACTTTGAGATAAGTCGCTATATCAAAGTTCCAAAGGAGGACGAGAATGGGAACCAAGTTTTGGAGCAAGGGCTCCAAATGGTGAAGCAAACTCCCGATTGGCAGAACTTCTTCCAGATTATCTATCAGCCAAACCAGGCTCTCTGGCTCCAGCAGAATCAGCACTATGCAAACAGCCAAGGTTAGATCTTTCAACATCTGTAGATAAAGTTTCTAAACTTCTTTTTCATTGCAGAAACATCTGACCAGTCCGTGATCACATCAAATCCCAGCGACACCAACGAGTGCTCGGATCGATCGTATAATTACTCTCACTTTCAAGGAGACCATGTTGGAGGAGTCCATAGCATCCACCAAAACAAGGATCAAGTGTTCCAGTTTTGCTCTCCACAAGCTAGTGAAGCTGCGATTCCATTCCAGCTCCAGAAACCGAGCTATGGAAGCGGCAGCAACAATCAAGTGCCAATCTTCACAGGCTGGAACGAACTGAGCTGAAAAGAAAAATTTCTCGAGTGAGACTTTCCCTTGTAAAAAGAATTATATATACACCACTAGGTACTTACCGCAATACTTTATCGTAGCTCTGTGGAGCTACAACAATTTTGGTACATTATAAAACTACTCAAGAGGCAGTATCAATTCAAGCATATAAACAACGAAACAAACGAATAGATTGTGCGTACTTGTTTGCGAGAACTTTTCAGGAGCTCAAAGTGCAGCCAATGAACATGCGCCATCGTCCAGGACGGGCGTACGTATAGAATAAAGTAGAAACAAAGTATAAATACTTTGAGTCATGCATCTAAGATCGAGATTCTAGAAGTTGCAGCAGCTATATGGTAAAATACTAGAAGGCTATGTGGTAGCAGTGTAGCACAGAGGTAATCTACTGTAAAGATCACCTTTCTTTTCCCTTTGAAATTCCTTCCCATATATTCCACCACCCCCATGCGCGATCTTGTTAGCAGTACTTCGTAATCCACCAAGTTGCCAGGCAGGGGCAAATGCTGCAAAGCAAGTAAGCCATGCCCGAGAGAGCAAAGCAAGAGAACAAAAAAAGATGGAAGGAAGAAAGGTGCGAGAGAGAGACACGCAAAAACAAGCCCAGAATCCGAGACAACCACCAAACTTCTGGCAAGCAAGTCTGGACTCTGGAGGGCGACTGGCATTCAATGCAAGAGTGTGTCTACCCCTTCTCTCATCTCTCTTTCTTTTCCTTCCAATCCCTTCAAAGAAATCCTCCTCAACTGCGGGTGGCGAATTTTATAATGGAAACATCAATTCCTCAGAGTTAATGAAAGAACACGAGCGCTGAGCTGATGGCAGGCGGACGAGCAAGAATCGTGGCGTGAGCCCCCCGATGTGAAGAAGGATATAAAAATAGTATCCACACACGATAAGGAGCTTTAATGGGATGGCTGGTTTTGAAAACTACGGAAGAATGGCGGCTAGCACAGCCAGCAGTAGCGAGAACGAAGACTCGTCTTGCTTGCTAGCAACGAGAAAACCAAGGAGAAAGACATTGTTGTCTGATATGTTTGGAGTTCACTGCACGGATACAAAGGTGGTGGTGGGTCTCGAAAGCAAAGATGCCGATAAAATCTTTGGTGGCTGCGGAGAAAGAGTAGCGATCAGAGAAGAACTCACACTTGAGCTTCTGCGACTCGGGCGATTTCTTCTTCCTCGAGCTCCTCGCTCTCCTCGTTCCATGCCGCAACCGTGTTGGATAGCAGCACATACGGCGCTGATTTCAATCGTCCCAGCTGCACGGCTCGCTTTGCCGCGGCCGCTGCTCGCTTGGAATCGCTGTGCGTCTTGCAAGCCGAGATCAGAGACAGCCACGAGACTCCATCCGGCTCGAAAGGCATGCTCTCGATGAGATCCTGCGCGTCCTCGAGCCGCCCCGCGCGGCCGAGGATGTCGATCAAGCAGCCAAAGTGGTCGGCGGTGGCCGGGATGCTGTGATCCGCGACCATGGTGGCGAAGTAGTCGCAGCCATCCCGGAGGAGACCTCCATGGCTGCAAGACGAGAGGATGCTCATGTAAGTGATCCCGTTTGGCTGGACGCCGTTGAGAACCATGGATTGGTGAAGCTCCAGCGCGAGTTTGTCATAGCCGTTTTGAGCGTAGGCTGCCACCATCGCGGTCCACGACACAACGTCCGCTCTGGAGCTCGCAACTTCGTCAAACAAGCGTCGAGCCTCAGCCAGACTCGCGCATTTTCCGTAGAGGTTGACGAGGCCAGAGCAGATCATCGGGTCGCACTGCACTCCCGACTGGGCGATCGTGGAGTGGAGAACTCTCCCGACTTTGAGCGATGCCACCTTCGTGCAAGCGTCGAGCGCGTTGACGAAGGTGATGGTGTCCACTGGAACTCCTTCCAGATCCATCTTGCTAAAGAGCTGGAGAGCTTTCTTTCCTTCGCCGTGCTGCGCAAAGGCCCCGATCATCGCCGACCACGATACCGTGTTTCGAGAAGGCATCTCGTCGAAGGTTTGCTTGGCTCGGTCGAGATGCCCGGTTTGAGTATATGCAGCGAGCATGGCAGTCCACGACACGACGTTCTGCTGGGGCATGGTTTGGAAGAGATTCTCGGCGCTGTAGAGATCGCCATGCAACGCAAACGCGGAGATCATAGCGTTGTAGGAAACCACATCCGGGTGTGGGAGCTCGTCAAACATACTCTTCGCGGTGTGTAAGTCTCCCTTCTCGGCAAAAGTGGTGATCATGATGTTCCACGAAAGCTCACTCCATCGAGGCATCTGGTCGAACGCTCGCTTCGCCTCCTCCGGCACAGCATTCGCCGAGTAAGCCCCGATCATCACGTTCCACGACACCAAATTGAGCTCCGGAGCCTGGTCAAAGAGAGCCTTCGCGTCGACGACGTTCTTAGCATCCACGAACGCCGTCAGCATGATGTTCCAGGTGATCGCATTGCTCTGCGGAATCCGATCGAAGAGCGCCCTCGCGTCGACGAACTTGTCGTTCTGAGCGTGCGCACCGATGACGGCATTCCACGAGACAACATCCCGGTTTGGCATTCGATCGAAGTTCGCTCGAGCCTCGTCCAAGTTGCCGTTTGATCCATAGGCCGAGACGAGGCTGTTCCACGACATGAGAGTCTTATCCGGCATGGAATCAAACACCACCTTCGCCTCACGCAAATACCCGTTCTGGGCAAATGCTGAGATGACCGAGTTCCAGGCCACAAAGTCCCTCTCCGGCATGCACGAGAACAACCATTGCGCCTCCTCGAGAAACCCATTCTCTGCGTAAGCCGCCACCATAATCGTCCACGACACCACTGTGAGCTGCGGCATCTTGTCCAGCATCACCCTCGCATTCTCCAGATGCCCCCTCTGGGCATATCCCGTGATCATCGTGTTCCAGACGATGAATCCCCGCAGCTCCATCCGATCGAAGACCTGTTTGGCAGCATCGAGGTTCCCGGCCTGGGCGTATCCGGAAATGATCGTCATCCACGAGAAGCTGGAAGCCTCGGGCAGCCCATCAAAGAGTTCCTTGGCGCTGTTCATGTCTTTCAGCTCCACATACCCGGAGATGATCCCATTCCAAGTCGCGGCCTCCCACTCCGGCATTCTCGTCACCACCGCCATCGCCTGCTGGATCTGCCCCCCCTGCGCGTACGCCGCCACCATCGCGTTCCACGACACGCTATTCCTCTCGCCCATGGCGTCGAAGATCCTCCTCGACTCGCCGGGATCGCTGGAGTTGCGCGCGTGGGCGGCCAGGTAGATGTTCCACGAGAAGGAATTCTTCCTCCGGATGGCCTGGAACGCAGCGCGCGCGTCCGCCACGCTCCCGCACAGCCCATACATCTGCACGATGAGATTGCCCAGGAACGTCCCTCCATCGCCGCCGAGGTCGCGCACCCGAGAATGCGCCCTCCTCGCCCGGGCGAGATCTCTTGCGCGCCCACATTCCCGCAGCAACGCCGCTATAGCACCCTCATCGATCGCTCCTCCAGCCCTAGCAAGCATCCACGAATGGCAATCCCATGCGTCCACGTGTATCACAATCCAACGGCCACAACAGCTAGTTCACCAACGTTGACTAAAAGAGTGTGTTTCGTTTTTTCTTTCTTTCGGAGCAAGGAGCTCCCTGGCCTCACTGCAGTGGAGCGTACACCGAGTAGCAATCCGGAGGAACCAAGACGTGATGGTGGAGAGGATATCGGCCCTGCGCAGCCGACACCTCCGGCCCAGCTCCGCCAGAGTAGCTCACGCTGCTGACGCTCATCGAGCGAGAGATCGGCCAAAAGCGACCATTCGCATCGCTCTGGAGAGAAGCCAGCGGTGTGTGCGCGTAGCTTCCCATCATCTGTGCGCTTTCCATCCTGCGCTGCTGCTGCTGTTGCTGCTGGTGATGCTGCTGCTGTTGGTGTTGCTGCTGCTTGGCACTGCTTCCATCGCCAGGCGAGCTGTAGTCTCCGCCTCTCCCACCGGGATGATGCAGGATCGCGCTCAGCGTCCTTCCCAAGTTCTTGTCCTCGTCCAGGAGATCGTTGATGATGTCCAGGTGCGGGAAATCCTCCGAGAGGCTGCTGAAGAATGGCGGCGGGGGCGGAGGCTGCCTCGTGGGTGACAGCATCTCCGCGCCTGATGGACTGCCTTGGTTGTCGGAGCTCTGGTCTTCGGAGTGCCCGGCGTCGTCGCTCGAACTTTGCTGCTGCTGCGGCGGGTGGTGCTCGCTGTGGAGGACTTCCTGTGTTACCGTCCCAAATGTTATCGCTATCGAGTCATCCTGCCCGTTTTGCTGCTGCTGCTGCTGCTGCTGCTGGCTGCCACCACCTTTGTGAGGAGGTTTATCGTTGCTACTTGCATCTGGCATCGTTGCCACTTGGACCTCTTCCGCTCTTCCAGACTGCTCGTAAACAGGAGGTAGCTTCGACGCACTACTGCTCGTCGTCGACGTTGTTGTTGTTATTACTGTTGCCGAGGACGACGAGGCAGCGGCGGCGGCAGCAGTAGCGTAAGGCCGAGCAAACCCGCCATTGCTCACCAAGCCGCTACTCTGCGCGCTGTGTCCTCCAATATCGGCTCCTGGGCTGTGCAGCCTCCCCACAGCAGCATTTCTGTACGACACTGGTAGACCAGCCTGCTTCGGGGTGTCGATGATACCGGACGCTTCACCACCACCGCTCAGCCTGCCAGCGGCACTCATTGAGCGAGAGAGAGGCGGCGGAATCGGCTGCAAAGGAAACGGCATGGAGTGCCGAGGTCCATTTGCAATCATTGGCGCAGTCCCTGGTCTCGAAAAAGCTGGCATTGCGGACGCCGTCATACCAGGCCGTGGATCGTCGTCGGACTTGTGCTTCATAGCGTTGGAAGAGTCACTCCTGCCTTTTGAGTGATGCCCGTTCTCAGTAGCATGATAAGAACCATTTGTAGTCGCCCTGCTCGACTTTAACTGTCGATTGTCACCTTTCGGTACTCTTCCCTTCGGCACTGAATCCCCATCAGGCGGCATGCTATCGCTTCTGTTGCTGGAGGCCTCGGAACTAAATCTACAATCTGGAACATCCCCCGATCGATTCCTGTGACTTCTTGTCTGATCACCTGCTTTGTGCTGGGCGTAGCTAAGCTGTTCATGAAGCAAAACAACTTCGTCCTCCTGCAAACGCCAAAGCTTTAACGCTAAACGCTCCAGAAAAAAATTTACCTTTTCTTGTAGACGTTTTTCAAGCCAACGCACTCTTTCCTTGAGAGAAAGAATAACAGCCTCCGAATCTATACCTCCTGGACTGCAACTACTGCTCGTCTCGCCAGTGCTTCGAGCGTCTGCAGTTCGGAGAACTGCATCGCCTTCAAGAAGCCTACCATCGCTGTCAAAACCATCAACAGCAGCCCTGCTCCTGCCCCTGTCACCGCATTGTGTAAACAGCTGAAACGAGGAAGTACGAACAAGTACCTTAGGAAACCGTGTTCGGAGATGTGCGTCCTTGAACTGAACAAATTGCTACTCGGCGGTCTCACCGATGGTAGAGAGTCCGAGGAGCAAGTGGAGGAGCTGTCGTCCAAAGCCGAGGGTACTCTTTTACTCTGCCCGCTGGCTTCGTCAGTTAAAGAACCACTGAAACTTGCTTCCATTTCCTGGTTCACGAATGATGCGTCTCGTTCCCATGTCGCATGTTCTAAATCATCCGCTGTTCCAAAGGTTCCCACAACGCTGTCCAGACCACTATCACCTTCCTCATCTACAGTCTCGCCCATCAAAATCGACGAGAGGTCGACATCCGTTAGCAGAATTTTCTTCGTGACAAGCCTACTGCTTGTTAGATCTTGCTCCAGGCGCTTTTCAGAAGGATCTTTGTCTTTTCCTTTACGATCTTTCCTTCTTTGTTTAGCCTGTAAGAACAAAGAAGGATAAAGTTATATAGATTAGAGTAAAGTTTACCTGTTTCTTCTTAGTACGTTTCTCCCGTTCAGCTGCCTCGCGCTTTGCTTTAAGCTCATTTTCAGCCTGACCGGCAGCTTCTTCTTCACGAATAAGCTCTTCTTGACGTTTTAACGCCACAGCTTCTCTGTACGCCACTTCTATCCGATTGCTGCGACGGAATGACCAACGTTACATTGAAAGTATAATAAAAAGAGAAATACCTGAATAAATGAGCTAGCACGAACATTTCGACAGTCCGCCTGCCAAGCTCTGTAAGCCTCCGTTCGTCACGTTCAACGAACTCCTTCCCAAATTCATCTCCAGATGCTCCGTCCTGATAAAAGCATAAAATGGTGAAGTTCAATCGAATACCATATTGTCTATACCTTCGTCCGGTTTTGAGGCCCCTTATCATCTTTGTAGGAAGGCAATGGCTCTAGTACGACCCGCTCCAAGAGCGAAAGTATATCGCCAGCAAGTACAAAAAAATCCTTCTCCATCCAGACAACAGGTGTAAATGAATCATATCCTGCGTCTAATTTATGGTTCTTGTTCTTTTTCTGACGATCCAAAGCCTTACAGCCACTGTATAATGCATCCATGACCAGCGTTGAAGTGACCTCCTTCTCGTTGAAAAAGCGCTTAACCACGGCCTTGAAGATTATATCCGTCTTTTCTCTAGCAAGCCGTCGGCGTGCATTGTCTTCGACAGCCGACCAGAAGGCTCGGAAACTGGCAAGCACAGTAAGGAGTTACTAAGCAGATATATGGTTACTTCCGCCATACCTTGACCAGCAAAGAGTATCCTCTATTACTTTACCAAGTTTCTCTCTCTTCTCTTCCACAAAGCGTCGGCAAATACCCTCAACGTTTGTTATGTACACGCGGACCAGCTCTCGCCTATACTGACAATCGAGACAGCGGAAAGGCTGAAGAGGATTCTCCCTGTCAAAATTCCAACAAACAATAAGATACTAGGATCTTTTAGACAGCCAAACCTGATAACTTGCACTTGGGCCTTGATAACCAACGTATCGCCGACCGTGAAACCATCCGCAACTTTAGAAAGTTCCATAAATTTCTTCCAGCCCCAGTCATGCTCCTTCTTGCAGAAACGATGTAAAGTATCTGCTTGTACAAAGTACACTTAGCGCCTATTCCACATAGATAAAAGTTTGCAGCACCTGAATACTTAGACTTCTTTGGATCTTTGTTGACCACGGCTATAGTAAACTGCGCAAAATGACTCCATCCTTCAGAAAACACAAGACGAAGACAAGGTATGACAACCGTTAAAACTCAAAAGAGAAATCGAGTCTACTACCTGGTAGAAGCTTGTCATAATCTGCAACACACAGGAAAAGCGAAAGGTGATTGCAAACATCACATCCCTGAGGATACACTAAAATATACCTGAGAAGAAACGCTGAAGCCGTTAGAACAGCTTAAAGAGACAGGAGGAGAATGTTAGACGTGTTTGCTCACCACTTGTAGCCTCCGACTTCGAACACATTGCTCCGAAGTTCCCTCTTGCTAATCTCGGAGAAATTCTCGATCTTCCAGGTGAATTTTCCGTAAAGGTCCGAGGGCTTGGGTCCTGTAAAACAACAAAGAAAAAATGAACAAGAAAAAAGAAAGAAAAAATCCCACGACGAAGATGAAGAAATGATAAGAAAATGCGCTACCAGCACAATGAGGAATTCCAATCATCGGCCACACACAAACCCTATTGCAGGAATCGAGCAGTCACCTGGCAGCGTGGAGAGCGCCGACGATTTATCCTCGTCGGAATCACAATAGCCTGGAGATGTGGATGGAACTGACGGCTCCAACTGCTCGCGCGACCTCCATTCCGCGACAGCATCCGCGAGATGGAACCTGTTACCTCCGGACGACGCCGCTGGAGCAGCGCACGCCAATGCCGCATCGTCCCCGCTCGCATTGCCCTGCCCTGCGCACGCCATGCCGGGCAACGCAGAAATAACCCTAGCGCTGGGCGGATTAGGGCAAACGCAAATAATCCCCTTAAGCCTATACTTTCTGGTTTTAGGGCAAAATAGATTTAGGGTTCTTGGATCCATATGGCCGTAGCAGATGAAAATTGGTGTGCTCCGCCGATCTTACCACTCCACCGCCGCTCTCCAGGGCTTCCGCCGGCTGATCCGCCCCCCCATTGACATCTCCAACGTCGTCTCCTCCAGGGACTCGCCCCTCTCGTTTGTCTCCACGAATTGGCAGCGCGAGGGCGACGAGAATCACAGCCGATGGGTCAGCCGCGACGATGGCAGCATCGTCAAGCTCCAATCCCTCGCCAGGAGGGACATCGATCTCCTGGACGACGCCGACACGCAGGATCCCAGCGTCTACATCGCTCTCTTGAGAGAATGCGGGTGCTCGCGCGCCCTCGCAGATGGGAAGAAGGTCCACGCCCATCTCTCCAGGGGCGGCCTCCACAGGGATCCGTACGTGGCCAATTTTTTGATCCAGATGTACGGCAGGTGCGAGAGCATGCGCGACGCAGAGGATGTGCTTCGATCGTTGCCCTGTCCAAACGTTATCTCCTGGAACATCATGATCACAGCATATGCCCGGAATGGGCATCTTGCAAAAGCAAAGAACACATTCGATGCTATGCTTGATCGGACGGTCGTTTCGTGGAATAGTATGATCACTGCGTATGCCCAAGACGGGCATGCTGGGGAATCTAAGAGGATTTTCGAAAGAATGCCTTTCTGGGCTGAAGTGTCGTGGACTACTGTCATGACAGCATATGCCCAAGATGGGGATTTGCTAGAAGCGATGAGTTTCTTTCAGCGAATGCCACACAGGGATGTGGTCGCCTGGACGACCATGATACGAGCTCATGCTCTTAAGGGCCTTTACAGGGATGCGCTGGTTTTGTTTCGGAGGATGAACAGCGAGGGACTCAGACCGGACAAAGTTACGCTGCTCACGATTCTTGAGTCGTGTGACAGTCGGCTGGATGGAGCGGGGATTCACGCTTGCATCGCCGAGCTTGGGTTACAAACCGATGTAGCGGTAGGGACAGCGCTCATCAACATGTATGGGAGGTGTGGGTGCTTAGAGACTGCTCGGAGTATATTTGTGAAGATCGAAGAGAAGGATGTGGTGGCCTGGACCGCGATGCTCAATGCTTACGCTGATAACGGGCACTTGAGGGTCGCGGAGCTTATGCTGGAGAGGATGCCGCTCAAGAACTCGGTGTCTTTCAACGTGGTGATCACTGCTTTTGCTCGAAACGGCTACTTGTCCGAGGCCAGGGAGATATTTGACAGGGTGACGGACAGGGACGCTGTGACTTGGACGACTTTGATCACGGCGTATGCTCAGCAGGGCCAGTGTAAGAAATCTCTCGAGCTCTTTCGGCTGATGGTGGTAGAGGGAGAACTTATGGATAGAATCACGCTGGTGTCGATGCTCCACGTCTGTGCGGTTCTAGCGGTTTCGAGTGTTGGAGTGGCGATTCATGACTTTGTAGTCGGTGCAAAGATGGCGATCGATGCTACTCTCGGCACTGCTCTTATGAACATGTATGGAAAGTGTGGAAGCATTGAGCGAGCTCGCAGCCAGTTCGATTCAACCCAGCAGAAAGACATCGTTTTCTGGAACTCCATGATCGCGCTCTACGGTCAGAATGGTCACGGGAGAGAAGCTCTAGACCTTTTCAGAGACATGGTTCACGATGGCATGGAGTGTAGCGACACAACATTAGGGAGTGTTCTCTCCGCATGCAGCCACTCCGGCCTACAGAGACAGGGCCGAGATTTTTTCCTGGCAGTGGAGCAAGACTATGGAGTTTCTCCCACGATCGAGCACTACATTTGCATCATCGATCTTCTGGCGAGAGGTGGACGAGCGTCGGCTGCTCGCGAGCTGATTGACAGCATGCCCTTTGAGCCTCATGCTGCGGCTTGGACGACGTTTCTAGCCGCCTGTAAAGCTCAAGGCAAAGCCGGGGAAGCAGCAGTAAAGACCTCAGTGGAAGAGCTCTCCAGCAAAGTTGGAGACGTTTTTCTTCTCGTTGGCGATTCCAGTACAAGTGCTGCTGCCGTCGCTGCTGGATGATTTTCGAAAGCGGGGAAGAAACCACCGTTTGAGTTCTGAAACTCTCAACTATCCAGCAAACGCGAGTTCTACATCGTCTTCTACTTCTACTGCTGGACAACGAGTTTGATCACGCAGCTTGTAGATCGAAGACAGTAGCGCATACGGTGCCGAGTTCTCGGGATCCAACTTAAACGCTTGATGTGCCGCTCGTCCTCCCCTCTCGGCGTCCTTGTGCTCTCGACACGCTCCCAGCAATGACGTCCACACCAGCGCCTCGGGCTCAAACGGCATACCAAGTATCAAGTCCTCTGCGTCTCTCAGCCTGCCTGCCCGGGAGAGAATATCAACCATGCAGACGTAGTGATCCACAGCGGGCTCAAGGCCAAAGTCTCCAGCCATGGACACGAAGCAGCTCCAGCCATCTCCCGTCAAGCCGGCGTGGCTGGAAGCCGCGAGAACATTGACGAAAGTGCTCGAGTTTGGCTTGAGGCCGTCGAGAACCATGAGATGGAACTGCCCGAGAACGCTCGTCGCCAATCCATTCTGGCTGTAGGAGCTGAGGAGAGCGTTCCACGGCTCGACGTACTGCCGCAGCATCGCATCAAAGAAGGATTTTGCGTGCTGGATGCTCCCACACCTTCCATACATGCTGACGATGGCGGTGCTGAGGACCGAGTCGGCTCTAAGCCCGGTGCTCATGATCTCGGCGTGGACCATCTTGGCCTTGAATTTGCTCGCGAGCAAGCAGCAAACTTCGCAAACGTGGAGGAAAGTCACTCGGTTCGGCCGCACTCCATCCAAGTCCATCTCTTGGAAGAACTTGAAAGCTTCCGCTGGGCAGCCGGCTTGCAAGTAGGCCTTGATCATCCCCGTCCAAGTCACTACGTCCTTCCGCTGCGTCACTCGATCGAACAGAGACTGCGCTTCGAAGATCGATCCACACTGGGCGTAGGCAGTGATCATCGCGTTCCAGCAAGCCAGCGACGGCCTCGCCAGTCCATCAAATATCTTCTTTGCTTCGTCGAGGAAGCCATTCTGCGCGAGTGCCGCGAGCATCGCGTTTGTGGCCACCATGTCCGGATCGACCATCCTCTCGAACAGCGACTTCGCTTCAGGAACGCTGCCACACTTTCCATAGAGGTTGACGAGAGTGCTGGGGATGAGCATACCGGACTGGCACTTACAGTCGAGCACGCACTGGTGGAGGATCCTGGCCAGCGTCAAGTCGCCCAAGTTGGAGCAAGCCTCGAGAGCTGCGAGAAAGGTGGTGCGGTTGGGACGAACGCCCTCCATGTCCATGACTCGAAACAGCTGAATCGCCTCGCCGTGCTGCCAGTTTTGAGTGTGCGCGTTGATAAGCGCAGTCCAGGCAACCACGTCTCGATCGGTCATGGTGTCAAAGAGAGATTTTGCGTCGTGGAGATAGCCGTTTCGAGCGTAGCCCGCGATGATGGCAGTCATGGAAACTCGGTTCCTTTGCGGCATTCGAGAGTAGCAAGCCAGAGCTTCATGGAGATGGCCGTTCTCGGAGTAAGCCGTCACCATTGCCGTCCAGGAGACGACGTTCCACTGGGGCATGAGATGGAAGATCTCGCGAGCTTTGGCGATGTCAGCGTTGTGTCCGCCAAAGGCTGTGATCAGAGCCGTCCAAGCAACCACGTCCCGAGAGACCATGCTGTGGAAGAGGTGCATCACTTGCTCCAAGTCCCCCCACTTTCCGTGCATTGTGAGGAGTGCCGTGGCCATGGCGGTGTCGTCCTCGAGCCGGAGCTCGGTGAGCTTGGAGTGGATGTTCCTTCCGAGCTTCTCCAGCGAGAATTGCGAGCACGGGTCGAGCATGTTGAGGAAAGTCGATCGCTCGGGACGGATGCCTTCCAGATCCATCCTCTGGAAGCACGCGCAAGCCTCGGTGATCCTGTCCAGCTTCAAGTATCCACAGATTAGAGTGTTCCACAGACCAACATCGCCACGAGAGGCCGTCTCCTCGAAGAGTTGTCGCGCTTCTTCTATATGCCCGTTTGCGGCAAATGCTGAAACCATGGCTGTTCTTACGGCTACGTTTTTATCCGGCATTCGATCGTAGAAAGACTTTGCTTCGTTCAAGATGCCTATTTTTCCGTATCCTTGAATCAGTGCTGTCCAGTTTGCGGTGCTTGGGTCGCTAAGCATCTCAAACAATCTCCTCGCCTCGTGAAGATGCCCTGCATTGGCATACGCTGTGATCATCAAGTTCCAGGTCACTTGATCCTTTACTTCCATAGAATCAAACAATCGTTTAGCTTCGTCCATATTGCCACCTTTTACGTATGCTGTGATTATGGTATTCCACGAAGAAACACACTTATCTGGAGTACGATTAAACATCTCTCTCGCTTTCTCCAGGTACCCATTACGGGCATATGCAGTGACTATGATATTCCACGAGAGCGATGTTTTGTCATCAATCTTTTCAAACACCTCTCTTGCCTCATGTATACAGTTGTGCTTTGCGTACATCTGCAGAAGCAAGTTTCCACATTCCTGGCCTCGATCGAGGCCACCCGCTGCCAATGCCGAGTGGACGGTCCTCCCCTCTGCCAAGTTCCTCGTTCTAGCACATCTCCGCAAGATCTCCACATAGTTGCTGGAAGCATCGGTGCAAAGACCCCGAAAGGAAGACAAAGTGAACACCATCAAACTTCCATAGCTCGCTCTCTTTCTTTCATAATAGACAATCAAACCATTCTCTAGATACTATCGAGATCATCATCGTTGTGGAGCTTCCAAGCGCGTTCTCGCCGCCCCACTCGGCTCAGACAACGAGCTCCTCGGCCTCGTCCGCTCGACCAGATCCTCCCAGCAGATCAACCAAGCACCACAAATGACTTGGAGCGATGTCTCCTGCGCGCATCACATCCAACATAACCTCAAAGAGCTCAGTTTTGCAAATAGTTTGTGTCTTCTGTATATGCAAGAGTAGCAAGACATTCATTTTATTCATTCACTGTTTACATCCATTGGTTTTATTTTCTTAAACTAGAAATCTAAAGTATTAAAATCAAAACAAACAAAAGAAAAATTAACAATAACTATATATATAAACACACATTATTTCTTATCATATGGCAAGCAATTTGTGATGATAAATTTTGGGGGGAGGTGTACCTGGGATGGGTAGCCTGGAAAAGAAAATATATAATCCTGCAAGATATATGAACTTAAAATATATGTGCACTTGAATTGTTATAATGCATATGTATGAGTCACAATATAATATTTTTTATGTAACTTATTTCAGTTCCATAATAGCATGCTAACAGAGTTTAGGCTTTGGGTTAAGGTTTGCATGTGATAGCACATGAGCTAAATTTTGAGCACATTTTACAAGCCATATAAGTTAAGTGGTTAAGTGAGGGAAGGCTCCAAAATAATGGATCTTGAAGAATCTCTTTGATTGAATCATCAGCATAGAGATTCAATGCCTTATTGATGCATATGTTCTAGATTAGGGATCTTGAGCATGCAATGGAGTTTTCATGTGCAGCCATCTCTCATCCAGCTCTTACACCCACCATTGCTAATGTAAAAGTCTTTGCAATGGTTGAGAAGGCTTTGACAGAATTTGTAGGGTATAAGAAAATTATCTAACAATAGCAGCAAATGTAAAGAGCTTTGCATTTGTCAATTACAGCAAGTCAAGAAGCTACAACATGCTCCATACTTTTGGTATTGCTCCCATTGTGACATCACAACTCATAACTCATAACATGGAGAAGTGCTAAAAGCTTCATCTAAAGTTGCAGCCACCATGTTCTCAATGTATTCAGGAGCAACTGTTCATTAATAATAGCATTGTAACACAAGGGAAGGATTGCTACGAACAACAACTTAAGCATGCAAGCAATCAAGGCTGCACCTTTGTCATCTTCTAGTAAAGGGAAGGCTCTAATGGGACAAGTTAGTGCCATAAGAATTGTTGAGAGTTCACAATGACAATAACCATAAGAGCATAAAAGAAGAAACCAATTGTTCAAGAGGAAATTGATCATGATCCAGCTCCTTCAACAATCATTAATCCAACACCCAAGGTGGCATGGAAGCTCTTAATCATGTTTCTCCTACTTAAATATCCTTCACCTTCCTTTGGCAGTTCCGAAGTCCTCGAGAGCACACTAGCAATTGATAGAAATATTTATCACCATTTTGCTACATGAGCTTTTGTGCACAATTCTTGGCTTTGGACAGTGTCTTGAGGATTTTGTGAGGTCTATTAGAACCATGGCCCCACTCCAATAGGATATCCACATTATTGACATTACCTCCTCTTTAGATCCATTTTTTGCATTCATGAGCTTGCAATATAATTTCTTTGGATGTAGTGGGGATGGTCCAAATTTGAGTTGAGCTCATATCAACACAAGTCAACTCAAGTCAACATAGTCAACATGAAGTCTTACAAATGAAATCTAAATTGAACAAATGAAGGTTCTAGCAAACTTTAAAATATTTAGATACGTAAATATCTGAGTTAAAAGTTTCTATAAGATTGAATTGTTTAAAAAAGACAGAGTTCACAAGAACCTATCTTTTATAAAGTTATATTATTTTATTATGACTACTATTACAGTTGTCATATTTTGATTTGACTACTTAATATTTTGAATATTTTTATAGTTGTAAATACTATTCCTTCATTCAAAAGATTTTTTAGGGTTCATGAGAAGATGGGAAACAAGGAAAATACAAAATCTTTGAGTAAGAGTTATAGTGCAAAAGAATATGATAATGCTAATTTTGTTTCACTACCACAATTTCCATATTACACTCCTGGTCCTTGTTACCCATCTGGGAATGTGTAGACCACTATCATGATTGATAAAAATGCTCTTGTTGTTTCTGAAACAATAGTCCAGAGCAAAAGAAATGAAGAAATGAACAACATGGTGGAAAACACCAAGAAATCTACTCTATAAAACTTTCTATGACATTTGTAATTTGTATATTAATTCATATTAAAAACTCTATTGCTTGCTTATATTACAATCCTCTTATATGATAAGACCAAGGTATAATTTTGCAATGAATCCTCATTAAAAGTTTTTAGGAGTTGTTTGTGAATAATAATAAAAGAAATTGAAATCTTTCGAAAGACTCAAAAGTAATATCACATCAAAGAATCAACTTTATTTACATTTCCAAGACTGAAAGGCAGTCTCACATGAGATAATGGTAGCGTGCTAATATGCTCTGCCACTATAATGTAGTCTATATTTCCTTGTAGTCTATTTCCCTAGACATTTGGCATGTGTAGAAAATAATATATATGTAGCAAAGTAGGATTTCATCATAATGATAGAACATGTGTATACATGATAATCTAAAATTCTAGAAACTCTTATATTTTCACGGAAGACAACATCAACATGGAATCCGTGTAAATCCGTGTAAATATAGTGAAAAGTGAAAAGTGAAAAGTGAATTTTACAAACTAAAGGTGGTAATACATGTTTTTTGTAGTAATGACTGTTGGTAGTAATTTCATTCCAGCTCGACAAGATGCTTGTGAAGAGGAGTTGGAAGAACTCTCATCGACAACACGCTATATGCAATAACATATTATTTATTGTTTGTTCATTCACTTAATTTTTTTATAAGTCTGTTCTATGTCCCCAATAAAACAATGAGGCATTGTGGGTATTTTCATTGGCTCCTACAATAGATTGCTGACATCTTTCACGAAAGATGACATCAATATGGATATATGGCACAAGTTCAACCGTTGGTGCTGAAAGATATAAAGGCCATTGCTCCTAGTTGCGGCTTTCATTCTCTTTGACTTTTTAGATGGTCTTTCAGATATCAATAGGAAAGTTGAGGATTGGAACTTTCTCACACTTGACCACATGCGTGATGCATTCCTCTTGTCCGAAGCACTTATACTCGAAGTTGGCCATGTCATCTTCATCCTACTAAACGACCCTAACTTGATGAATGAGCTTATGACATGTGCAGTAGAAGTTCATTTCAAGTCATTCTCTTCTGGATGTATTATGGATCCTATTGGCATCAATATGAGGGGTGTCCAAGGGAAGCATGAAAAGGTGAGTATGTATTTTATATTTTTATCTAATTTTTAAACATTTTTATTTTCCAGGTTATGATGTGGACCTATCATGCTTTTTGCAGAAACACACATAATGGTTTTCGTGATAGCGAATGTGTAGCATGTGTTTTGCCTGGGTATGACAGTTCCACTAATATCATACCCAACCTTGTGGATGAGCAGATCCGTAACACATTTCCAAGGTACCAATTTCAAACTCCATCAACAATACAAGTCTTGCTTGAGCTCTATTGCCCACCAGATGGTGTTGTGATTGATTGCATAACAAGTAGCGATTCTATGATGGAGGCAACACGTGACTTTGGTAGGTTGGTGTTTGCTATTGAAGAATATCATTTCTTCAAATGCCGGCTCCAATCCGTGTAAATATAAGAGTTTCTAGAATTTTAGATTATCATGTATACACATGTTAGTGTAGTCTATATTTCCTTGTAGTCTATTTCCCTAGACATTTGGCATGTGTAGAAAATAATATATATGTAGCAAAGTAGGATTTCATCATAATGATAGAACATGTGTATACATGATAATCTAAAATTCTAGAAACTCTTATATTTACACGGATTTCCATGCCGGCTCTCAACATGGAAACTCTTGTATTCCATTGTCATTTACATTGCCATTATTGCTAGCATTGACAACTTCCTCGTGGTCTAGTGTAGAGGTCTCCTTCTCTAGAAGCTCTAACTCCCAAGGGCATTCTATCTTCCGTGCCTTTGGAACTCTTGCAAATATTGTTGGGTACATTCTTCCATCCTTTACACCCTTTGCAACAAGTCGAGTGCAAACTAGTGCCTCAAATAACATGCCTCTATATCGAAGATACCTGTAAACAATATATATTTTTAAAAAGTCTTAGAAATTATATTATACCTGTAAGCTGCACATCTCATAAAATAAAGCTGACCATGTTGGCAATCATAAGTTGTTGTGCTTGTAGACTTCTCTGGCAGCCACCCCTCTTCAATCCCTTCCAATGATGTGTTAATGTAGATGTCAAAAGATATAAATGTGCCATTTGGATCGTCACCAATGTGTGGTGCCAAGAACTTCTCACCCTCACTTATAGTTTGCGTGATGTAAATAGCCCTTCTCATCATGTTCTCAAATAGTTCTGGCAGTCTTTCCTCTCTGTTCATTAAGCGGACATTGAGGAAATCCAAAGTCTCTATCTGTTGCTTATATAAAAGTTTCGATTTTACAATATTGTAAATCATGTCATTTGGAGTTTTGTTCACTGCAAAAGTAACATATGCATAATTGCGAAAAATGAAGTGCGATAAAAACCTTACATTCATGAGAAGAAATTTCGACTATAATCTTTAGCCACTCCTTCGGCCTGCGATTGTTTGCAATACATACTAGTTTCTTCAACTTTGAAGACTTTGCATGTTGAATTTTATGCTCAATTTTTACAAACTCAGCTGAGAGCTCTTCTTGACTCTTCTCTAGATATGCAAGTTCGTAAGAATCTTGCTTGACCTTCACCAAAGGCTAAAAACTAAAACAATTAAAAGAGGTCCTTATAAAATGAAAAAGACATACCTTGCATCACATAGCAAGCATAAAATTGATTGGGTTGTTGAACCAAGTTGTATTGTTATTTCGAGTGTATGAGTGCTAAATAAGTGTTGCAAGATCATCACCATAATGTTGGCAAATGTCATCCTCACTCAAGTCTGCTAAAATTCAAAATTGCTCAATGTCATGGACAAGGTTTTGCTTTTGAACAGCAAACTGCCCAAGCCTGCATTTAAACACGACAAAATAAGTTAAAGTGGAGTTGGAGATAAAATTATAAAACTTACGTATTGATCTTTTGGCA